CCTGCATGTTCAAGGTCACAGCCCGTGTTTGGATTTGCCCGTTGCCCTCCGTCGCGGGCCTCGGGCAGATAAAAGCCTCGCTGATGAACGGCCCCAATCAGGCTGGCCGATGAGACTCTCGGAGAAATGTCCTCTTGCTTCGGTCCCGGGAACGGAGATAAACTCGCCTCCAGGCCCCAGATAACCAGGGCGCAATCCATCCCGGGCAGCCGTCCGCCTGGCAAGTCTCTGAGCTGGCAAATCTCCCGGGAAAACGTCTCTCCTGGCTCCGAACTCTGTATCCTCATGTCTGGTTTTTATGTTTTTTTAAATGTTTATAAGCACATATTTTATGGATGTCAGAGAGGAAGGGAGAGGGAGAGAGAGAGATGAGAAACATCCATGATGAGAGAGAGCCCTGGCCGGTGTGGCTCAGTGAATAGACCGTCGGCCTGCGGACTGAAGGGTCCCGGGTTCGATTCCGGTCAAGGGCACAGGCCCCGGTTGCAGGCTGATCCCCAGTCGGGGGCGTGCAGGAGGCAGCCGAGCCGTGATTCTCTCTCATCATGGATGTTTCTATCTCTTTCTCCCTCTCTCTTCCTCTCTGTGAAATCAATAAAAATCTATACTAATAAAAAGGTAGTATGCTAATTAGACCGGACATCTTCCGGACGTCCTTTCGGACAAAGCCACAGTGGCAGGGGCTGAGGCAGAGGGAGTTAGGGGCGATCAGGCTAGCAGGGGAGGGCAGTTAGGGGCGATCAGGCCGGCAGGGGAGGGAAGTTAGGGGCGATCAGGCCGGCAGGGGAGGGCAGTTAGGGGCGATCAGGCCGGCAGGGGAGGGCAGTTAGGGGCGATCAGGCCGGCAGGGGAGGGCAGTTGGGGGCGATCAGGCCGGCAGGGGAGGGCAGTTGGGGGCGATCAGGCCGGCAGGGGAGGGCAGTTAGGGGCGATCAGGCCGGCAGGGGAGGGAAGTTAGGGGCGATCAGGCCGGCAGGGGAGGGCAGTTAGGGGCGATCAGGCCGGCTGGTGAGCATTTACAAGCCAGTTGTCCCAGGTTGCGAGAGGGATGGCCAGTAGGATTGGGCCTAATCCGACAGTTGGACGTCCCCCGAGGGGTCCCAGATTGGACAGGGTGCAGACCGAGCTGAGGGACACACCCCCCTCTCCTGTGCAGGAATTTCATGCACTGGGCCTCTAGTATCTATATATTTTAAAAACAAAGAAAAGGTGCCTGTCATTCTCTCCCCCTCCTCCTTCCTACCATCCCTAAAACACAAGGGGGTGAGGGGGAGGGAGAAGGATCTTTTACCTTTGGCGACAGTAGGGAGGGACCCAGCACATATTCACACCCAGTGACACAAGCCAGTCAGAGAAAGAGGGGTACGTACTCTCCCCCGATCGCACTCCCCCCTGGAACCTAATGAGCCAAAGAAACTGACCGTTTTACTCCTCCCTTCCTTTCCAATCTGGATGCCTTCTTGTCTCACCTGATACCACTCGCCCACTGTCACTGGAGGGGATCAAAAATCATTAAAAAAATTAATAAAATAGAAAAGAAGAATGAAAATAATAAGTCAATAAACAACCCGGCCAGCCCGTGTGGCTCAGTGGTTGAGCGTCGACCCACGAAGCAGGAGGTCAGGGTTCGATTCCCGGTCTGGGTTGCCGGCTCCATCTCCAGGAGGGGGCGTGCAGGAGGCAGCCCGTCCATGATTCTCGCTCATCACATGGATGTTTCTCTCTCTCCCTCTCCCTTCCTCTCTGAAATCAATCAAAAAATAGATATATTTTTTTAAAAAAACCTAGGACTTGACCACGGACCCTCACCAGCCATCAGCATTGCAGTCACAAGGTCAAATCTATGGGGAGTGCGCGCGCGCGCTCAGAGGAGAGATGCGTGCGCCCTTGTTCCCTGGTGGACAGCCGGGGTGTCCCGAGCCTCTTGGGCGGACAGGGCTTATGGGGGGGACGAAGGGGGGTCAGGGCTCGGTGGCCGGGGCGCAGGGACGCCCCCTGGTCCTAACCTGGGGGGAGTGCACCGGCACCCCGCGGCGCGTGCCTGGCGCGCATTGTTGGCATTCCAGCTCCAAGATTGCAAAAGCAGCCAGAGGAAAGCAGGCGTGGGCCACGCCCCGGGGCCACAGGCCACCCACCCACAAGGAGCCGGAGGGGAGGGGTGGGGCGAGGCAAGCGGCCAGGACCAGAACACCACACCCAGAAACGGGTTCTTAGCTTCCTGCCCCCGCCCCAACCCAACCCCGCCCCAATCTCTGTAAAAAAAAAAAAAAAACACACAGAAACCACCCTTTTGTTCTGAAGTTCTGACTTTTGCCCGCCACCGTGCGTCTCCAAGAAAATACCCCCGCCGAGCGCGCGCGCGCGCCCTTGGCGAGGTGAGGACCCAGGGGCAGGACACCCCCCCCCACCTCCCCAAAGCGCACAATCGCTGAGACCCCCCTCCTAACAAGGTCTGTACCCCGCGAGTCACAGAAAGACGCCTCAAGAAGTCCAACGAAAGAGTCCCATTTATTGCAAATCCGGGACTACCAGGGGGACCCCCATTCCCCAAATCTCATAGCGATAAGACGTCCCCAACCCGGGACTCCTATAGGCAAAGATCACAAAGGTATTGATTACTTCTCAGGCTTTGGAATGAGGCACCTGGTTCGCAAAAAAAAAAAAAAAAAAAAAAAAGCAGTTTCCAGAAGCAGCATGTTTTGCAAATTATAGTTTTGGGTCTCGGGGTCACGGAATTGGCAGAAACACATTATTCTAGAGCCTTCGGGCAGGGAATGAGGAAGCTGGGTCAGACTTAGGCATGTTATTGAAATCACAGTTTTTGGGGACACGTTACCTGGAGCCCTCTGACCTTGGGATAGCTGTGCTGACCTTCCCAGGGAAAGGAAAGTGGGCTTTCTAAGGCCAGTATGACCACATGATGGCGACCATCCCTCACTCCCAGGGTGGCCAGTGGGATTGACCAGCCTGGACAGCCCCAGGGGCTCTGCTAGGACTCGAGCTTCCAGGCCTCGCCAGACGCACTGGGGCCCTTGGGTGCATTTTAACCAGGTGTCCCCGGCCCCCGGGCACCCCCGTCTCCCCCAAGAATGGCTTTTGAACACACACACCAAGTCCAGCTCCATTAGAATTCCAGGTACAGCCCGGCCTGTGTGGCCCAATGGTTGGGTCTGGACCTAGGAACCAGGAGGTCAGGGTTCGATTCCTGGTCCAGGGCACACGCCCGGGTTTGCACGTGGATCCCCAATAGGCGGGTGCAGGAGGCAGCCGGCCCATCGATGTTTCTCTCCTCATCGATGTTTCTCTCTTCCCTCTCCCTTCCTCTCTGAAATCAATAAAAATACATTTTCATTTTTTTAAAAATATATTTTATTGATTTTTTACGGAGAGGCAGGGAGAGGGATAGAGAGTTAGAAACATCAATGAGAGAGAAACATCGATCAGCTGCCTCCCGCATGCCCCCCACTGGGATGTGCCCGCAACCAAGGCACATGCCCTTGGCCGGGAATCGAACCCAGGACCCTTCAGTCCGCAGGCCGATTGCTCTATCCACTGAGCCACACCGGTTCGGCTAAAAATACATTTTTAAAAATTATCTGATTCCTTCTGTCCCTGGTGTGTGGGTGTGTGTGTGTGTACGACAGGGGCCCATCAAGTCGCATGCACCGGCCTTAGCCGGTGTGGCTCAGTGGATAGAGAATCAGCCCACGGACGGAAGGGTCCCGGGTTCGACTCCGGTCAAGGGCACAGGCCTGGGTTTGCAGGTTCCCCGGCCCTGGTTGGGGTGCGTGCAGGAGGCAAACCAACCCATCGAGTCTCTCCTCCTCTCTGCCACTGTCTCCAAAAAAAAAAAAAAAAAAAAAAAAAAAAAGGAAAAATATTTTCGGTTGAGGATTAACCAAAAATAATAATAATAAAAAAAAAAACCCGAAAGTTGCATGCATCGCTTTGTTTTTTTTCTGTCCGTCTTTTAAATATAAGATTCATTAAAAAAAAATACACCTTTCTTTTTTTAAAAAAAAATGTTTTTCAACATATTTTTATTGATTTCAGAGAGGCAGGGAGAGGGACAGAGAGAAACATCCATGATGAGAATCATTGATCGGCCGCCTCCTGCACGCCCCCTACAGGGGATCAAGCCCACAACCCCGCCATGTGCCCTGCACGGATTCGAACCCGTGACCTCCTGGTTCCTAGGTCGATGCCCAACCACTGGGCCACACCGGCCGGGCTCCGAAAACAAAGGATTCTTTTGGAAAAAATGCATTTGAGAGGAAGCCCCAAGTGGTTCTCAACCTTCTGGCCCTTTAAATACAGGTCCTTACGCTGGGACCCAAACATACAATTATTTTCGTTGCTGCTTCATCACTGTCTCATGTTAGGAATCGTCATGGAAATATCTGATCTGCAGGAGGGTCTTAGGCGACCCCCTGTGAAAGGGTCGTTCGCCCGCCAAAGGGGTCGCGACCCACAGGTTGAGAACCGCTGCAAGCAAACCTCCCGGAAGCTCCCGTGCGCCCCGCGTCCCGGTGGCACCGTCAATATCTCGCCGCGCGCCCCGGTCCGACGGCGAGACCAGGAAGCTGAGCCGGCAACGCGCACCCCCCCCCCCCGCGCCCCCCGCCTCCCTCCGGGCCCGCCCGCCTCGAACCAAGTTCACGTTCAGTTTTATTTTTCAACTTTACTTGGGTTGGAACCACGCCTTCCGCGTCTCCATCGCGTCCCGCCTCCAACTTTCCGGGCTGCGGAGCGGGCGATGGCCCTGGCCGGCGCGCGCGCGCCCCTCGGATGGGGAACTCGGCGCGGACCCTTCTCTGGGGCGCCCGATTGGGGGTGACTAGGGGGCGCGGGCACCTCCCCAAAGCTGCCCGCCTACCCGATGCGTCGCTACGACCCGCCGCCACGCCCGGGCCTCGCGGTTCCAGGGCGGGGCCTCGGGGAGGGCGGCCCGGCCGGCAGCGTCCGGGCGCGCGGGGCGGGGAGAGCGCGCGGCCCCGCCCCGGCCGCTTCCGCCCGGTCCCCCCGGATCGTCGCGCACTCAGCTCCCGAGCCGGTGCCGGCGGCGGACTGGGGCCGCCAGGAATGAACCAGGAGCCGGGCGCGCGCGGCCGGGACCCCGCCTCGCCCCTGTCCCCCCGCGTCGCGCCTCTCTCCGGGCCTGCGCCGCGCCCCCCACCGCCGCCCGGCCGGCCGCGCGCGCCCCCCGAGGCCGCCGGCGACTCCCACCAGCTGCTCCTGTTTCTGCTTTGGCTGCACTGAACGCCGCCCCGCGCCTCGCCATTGTCCCCGCCGCCGCCGCCCCGCCAGCTGCCCCGGGCCGCGCGCCCGGAGGCGGGGGGCGCGCATGGGGGGGCGCCGCTGATGCCGCCGCCGCGACGCCCTCCGAGGCTGCGTCCCAGGAAGCGCGGTCCCCCTCGCCCCCCGGCCCGGCCCGGCCCCCCGGATCGGAACGCGCCCCCATGGAGGCGCCCGGGGTGGCCAAGGCGGACCCGGACCCTCCTTTGGAGAGCCAGGAGGAGACCTCCGACGGCGCGCCCGCGCCCGCGCCGGGATCCGACGAACCGTCTCCAGACTCGCCCGGTTACCGGCTGCAGGACTTCGACACGCTGGCCACCGTGGGTGAGTCCGCGCTGCGTGCGGGGCGCAGGGACCCGGCGCGGAGAGGCGCTCCGTCCCCCGGGGACGCGGGGAGGCAGACAAAGGACTCGGTGTCGGGTCGCTCGCTCGGCCGCCTCCCGGGGAGGCCTGGGCCCGGCCCCGCCCCGCCCGCTCGGGGTCCCCGCGCGCGGGGTGGCCCGTGCGCCCTGGGTCCCAGCGACGCCGCGAGAGTTGGAGAGAGTACCCCCTTCGCGCCCCCCGCGCGCCCCTCTCCCCCCGCAGGTTCCCCAAAAACCTCTGCACCTGCCTAGCCGGCGCCCCGCCTCGCGCCTCCTCAAGGCACCGTCTTGACCTTTTGGGGAAGTTTACGCCTTTTTTAATGTCTTCATTTTTTGTGTTGTTGTTGTTGTTACCATGGTGAAGGGATTGGTGCGTTTCGTTTCTTCTTTCTATGAGTTCGTTCCGGGTGGATAAAGAAGCTGTCGATTTTGGGGGGGTTGGTTTTGTATCCTTCTACCTTGCCGGATCCGTGGGTGAAGCCTAGTCGGTTTTTTTGTTTGTTTGGTTGGTTTTGGTGGAGTCTTTAGGGTTTTCTGTGTACAATGAGCAAAAATCACCTTTTTTGGAGACGGGCCATGTATTCAACGACCCCCCCCCTCGGGGTCTGGACCCGTCCCCCCCCCCCCGCCCCGCTCCGACGTCACAAACCTACCTGGAGGTCACGTCACATTGGGGACCTCGCGCGCTCCCCTTGGCAACCCCTCCCACCCCCACCCCTTTGCCCCAAGGGACAGAGGCGTCGGCTCTGAGGGCACCTGCGGACCCCCAACTTAGCCACACACACCCCCACCCTGTGCCCAGGGGCAGTAGGCAGCCTCGGGGGGCACTTAGTCGTTTCCCACGTCTTGGGGGACAGGTGTGCGTCTTGGGGGACAGGTGTGCTGTGGGCGCGACGGGGTGGGCGCGTTTGGAAAGCTGATTATACATTTCCTAGAATTGCACCTGCTTTTTTCCTTTTCCTTTTTCTTTTTTTAACATTCTGTACATCCAAATCTTGTCATTTTATTTTCATCAGTTTTCTACTTTTATTTTTTTTTTTAAAAAAAATATTTTTATTGATTTCAGAGAGGAAGGGAGAGGGAGAGAGAGCTAGAAACATCCATGATGAGAGAGCATCATGGACCGGCCGCCTCCTGCACGCCCCCTACTGGTTGGGGATGGAGCCCACAACCCGGGCCTGTGCCCTTGACTGGGACTCGAACCCGGGACCCTTCAATCCGCAGGCCGTCGCTCTATCCACTGAGCCACACCGGGCAGCCCGGTGCTCGGAAATTCGCGCAAGGGGCTGGGCGCTCGCAGCCCTGGTCGCCCGGAAGGCCGCCCGGAAGGACGTCCGGCTGTCCGGCCTAATTAGCATGTGATGCTTTTATTATTATAGATTATAGATAGATTATTATTTTTAAATCCACACTCAGGGAGGAGCCTGCAACCCAGGTACGTGCCCTTGGCCGGAACCGAACCCGGAACCCTTCAGTCCGCAGGCGGGGGCTCTATCCATTGAGCCACACCTGCCAGGGGGGATTCTCGCGCCAAACCCGCTGGTGTAATGGGGTGGCCCTGGCCCCCTAACCAGGCACCGAATTCGACGCCCCTGGCCACGCATGCGCGCCAGAGTGGCTTCTTGGCAACGGTTGCTAAGGGGTTGGGCCGAGGGGCTGTGGGTGGGGAAGAGGACCCTGGTGGGGGGGCCAGACGGAGTGGGACCCTGGAGATGGGGTGCCCGGGGTGTCTTTCTTGCCCCTCCTGCCCGCCCCCCCCAAAAAAAAACCCACAAAATTGGGAAAAGGAGGAGAAAATAAAATGGGCTCAGGTCAGGGCTTAGGGCTCAGCCATACAGACGGGCGGCCCTGGCCGGTGTGGCTCAGTGGGTAGAGCGTCCGCCTGCGGACCGAAGGGTCCCGGGTTCGATTCCGGTCAAGGGCATGGACCTGGGTTGCGGGCACATCCCCAGTGGGGGGCGTGCAGGAGGCAGCTGGTCGATGCTTCTCTCTCATCGATGTTTCTAACTCTCTCTCCCTCTCCCTTCCTCTCTGTAAAAAAATCAATAAAATATAATATTTTTAAAAAAAAATCAACAGAGGGCCCTGGCCGGTGTGGCTCAGTGGATAGAGCAGTGGCCCCGGGTTCGATTCCCCGTCAAGGGCACAGGCCCGGGTTGTGGGTTCGATCCCCAGTCAGGGGCGTGCAGGAGGCAGCCGATCCGTGATTCTCATCATTGATTGATGTTTCTCTCTCTTTCTCCCTTCCTCTCTGAAATCAATAAAAACACATTTTTTTAAAAAATATATCAATGGAGGAATATCCTCCCGGGAGGATTAACAACAAGAAACAGACACAAAAACAAAAATAATGCAAAATATATTTTTATATATTTTATAAAAAAATATTCCAAGCGAGCATGACAGGGTGACGGCCAGTGGAGACGGGTGTCACCACGGGGTTCCCCGGAACTCTGGTTTGGGAAGGAAGACGGTATGGGAGGCTCCCCCATTTCCTGTTGTGTCCCCCCTCTCTCCGGTCTCTCCCCATTTCCATCTATATATCTATCGATATATGCATCTATCTGCCCATCCATCCATCCGTCACCCATCCATCCATTGATCACTTTTAATAATTTATTATTGACTAGAGGCCCGGTGCACGAATTCGTGCATGGGGTGGGGGGGGTCCCTCGGCCTGGCCGGCGATTGAGGCTGATTGGGGGCCGTCTCGTCCAGTCCCCATTGGAGGCAATGGCCAACCTCCCACATCCCCACCCCATTGGTCGGCTTGGGGGGAGGGGCCGCGGGAGATTGGCTGGCAGCAGGGCGGGGCGGGGGGGGGGGTGGCGGAGGGATTACGGGAGGTTGGCCCTGGGAGCGCACTGACCACCAGGGGGCAGCTCTGGCATCGAGCGTCTGCCCCCTGGTGGCCGGTGCACGTCATAGCAATTGGTTGTTCCAGTCATAGGGTTGTTTAGGCTTTTAAATATATAGGTTATCATTATTATTATTATTATTATTATTTAAATTCTCCACCCGGGGGTATGTTTCCATTGATTTTTAGGGAGAGGAGAGAGGGAAAGACAGAGAGAAACATCGATGTGAGAGAAGCACATTGAGGGTTGGGGCCCGGGATGAGCCCCCAACCGAGGTCTGTGCCCTTGACCGGGAATCGAACCCGGGACCCTTCAGTCCGCAGGCCGACGCTCTATCCACTGAGCCAGGCTGGCTAGGGCACCCTCCCTCTTTCTCCATATTTCCCCCACTTCTGTCTCTCCTCCCCCCCCACCTCCGCTGAGCCCATTGGGACGCCGGCTCCGTTTCCCGTGCCAGCAGAAACGGAACAGAAACCAGTAGCTGGAACCCGATCGGACCATGGAAAGTGGTGGCAAGACCCACCCACACCCCGATCCCTGGCCCGGCCGCCCGGCATTGTGATCCTTTCGGGCACGCGCTGGGCCCTGGGCGGGGAGCCAGGGCAGGGTGCCAGGGCAGGGTGCCCGCGGGGCCAGGTGGGCGGGCCCCAGACGGGACCCAGTCTGGCTGCTGCCAAGCGGGCATAGGTGCCCGGTGAGTCATCGTGTCCTTCAGGGGAGAATGCGGGCGCCTCTGGGGACCCGTCGGACGGCTCTGATGTCCAGTGCTTGGTGCTCCTCTTGGGGATGACGATGTGTTTTCGTTTTTCTTTATTTATTGGATTTTAGAGAGAGAGAGAGAGAGAGAAACGTCAGCTTGTTGTTCAATCTATTCATGCATTCATTGGTTGAGTCTTTTTTATTTTATTTCTATTTTTATTTATTTTATTTATTTTATCTTTTTTTTTGGTTGAGTCTTTTTTATTTTATTTGTATTTTTATTTTATTTATTTTATCTTTTTTTTGGTTGAGTCTTTTTTATTTTATTTCTATTTTTATTTTATTTATTTTATCTTTTTTTTTGGTTGAGTCTTTTTTATTTTATTTCTATTTTTATTATTTTATTTATTTATCTTTTTTTTTTTGGTTGAGTCTTTTTTATTTTATTTCTATTTTATTTTATTTATTTTATCTTTTTTTTTTGGTTGAGTCTTTTTTATTTTATTTCTATTTTTATTTATTTTATTTATTTTATCTTTTTTTTGGTGAGTCTTTTTATTTTATTTCTATTTTTATTTTATTATTTTATCTTTTTTTTTGGTTGATGAGTCTTTTTATTTTATTCTATTTTTATTTATTTTATTTATTTTATCTTTTTTTTTGGTTGAGTCTTTTTTATTTTATTTCTATTTTTATTTATTTTATTTATTTTATCTTTTTTTTGGTTGAGTCTTTTTTATTTTATTTCTATTTTTATTTATTTTATTTATTTTATCTTTTTTTTGGTTGAGTCTTTTTTATTTTATTTCTATTTTTATTTTATTTATTTTATCTTTTTTTTTTGGTTGAGTCTTTTTTATTTTATTTCTATTTTTATTTATTTTATTTATTTTATCTTTTTTTTTGGTTGAGTCTTTTTTATTTTATTTCTATTTTTATTTATTTTATTTATTTTATCTTTTTTTTTGGTTGAGTCTTTTTTATTTTATTTCTATTTTTATTTATTTTATTTATTTTATCTTTTTTTTTGGTTGAGTCTTTTTTATTTTATTTCTATTTTTATTTGTTTTATTTATTTTATTTTTTTTTTTTGGTTGAGTCTTTTTTTAAAACAAAATATTTTTAGGGGGAAAGGGAGACCTATGTAAAACTTTAGACAATATAATAAAAAAACAAAATATGTTTTTATTGATTTCAGAGAGGAAGGGAGAGGGAGAGGGAGAGAAACATGAATCAATGATGAGAGAGAATCATGGACCGGCCGCCTCCGGCACGCCCCCTATTGGGGATGGAGCCCGCAACCCGGGCCTGTGCCCTTGACCGGGAATCGAACCCGGGACCTCCTGGCTCATGGGTTGACCTTCAACCACTGAGCCACACTGACGCGGCTCAAATATATTACTCG